CCCACCAAATTTTCAGACCTATGGGGAGCCCCTCTCCCTGTGCGCTGAATTGGGCCAGCTGTCTGACCCGGCACGTGGTTCCAGAGCCAGCATGAGGTCACAGACTCCACTTAGATCTCAGGACCGGGCTTGCACACAACCCCAGTACTCAGCATGCCAGATCCGGCCCTGCTACATGGTGTCAGTGCCAGCATGTTGGACTTGGCTCTGCCCTGGAGCCCCACAGTCACTATGGTGGATTGGGCCCTGGCACACAGTCCCCAGCTGCAGAGACCCCAGACCCCTAGTACTTTTCAGACCTCTGGACCCTTATTCTGTGGTAAGACTTTTTCCCATTCTTGGGGTCTTCCAAAAATAGGGCATGTGTTCTATTTGGGGACCTCTTATATGCGAGAAAATATGGTACTTAACACGTGGCTGGTTTTTAAAAAAATATTATTATTTTATTTTATTAACAGCAGCATGTTCTGTTAGCTTTTCAGTAAGGAAGCATCACAGCATGTGGATGGGAATCAAAAGAACAGGCTCATGTGCTCTGCTTTTTCACAGACATTCTGCATAGCCTTGGCCAAGCCTTGGTTTGCCTCTCTGTGGAGTGAGTGAAATAATTGCTGTCTCCCTCACAGTGGGATCCTGAGGCTCTGATTGATGAATATTTACAAACCTCTTTTTGCACCCTGGACATAAGATGCTGTAGAAGTGCAAAACATGTTTCTATTGTCAGCTAAACAAAATAACTGAATAAATACATCTCTGTGTTATGGTTTCTAAAACCGAATGCTACTTTTTTAGACAGATGAAGTAGGAAGCAAGGGACAATATGTAGTCTTTTTAATGTCCGTGTTCTCAGATCAGTCATACAAAGTTTTTTTTCAGAACTTTCAGAGAGGAACTTGGTTACTGTGACTGGTTTGTCTACTGTCTCGAGCTCACAAGACAAGAAAAGGAAGAAATAAGATTTGCTGATGCAATTGTTTGAAACCACAATTTACTGTACAGTTCTTATGCAATGTGAAAAGTCAATAAGTCTTTTTCCATTTTCCTTTCTAGACTCTCCATTCATAAATCAAGTTCTGAAGACGGCTCTGTAGGTCAGTATATTTCATTGTATTTGTTGCTTCTGTTTTATCCACAAATTAAATATATTTAATTTCTGCCCCTTGGGAAGGGGGCTGGACCCGATGATCTTACAAGGTCCCTTCCAGCCCTAATGTCTATGAAATCTATGAAATAGTTAAGTTTTGGTTTTTCAAGTGTGCAAGTATTAGAAGGGCTGAGTATCCCCAGCCTCACTAAAGCCGGGTTGAGGGTGGGATTGATAGGACTTTTACATCCTTTAAAATTAAGTGATGCATCTCTAGGCGACTGCTTTGTCCACTGTGCAGCAGAGGCCTGAATGGCAGAATATTGTTGCTCTCTGTCTATTGCCTCCTCAAAACTACCTCTCATGGTGAATAACTCACTACTATATTTCAAATCATTTGGCATCACTTACCAGGCTCTCTCCCTATTATATTAAACTGTTTATGTTGTTTTCAGAGGCTATATTTATATTTCAAAGAGATGATTTTCAGTGTCTTTTCACGCCTTTTACCTGCTATAATAATCTTTAGCTATATTAATAAAATCCCTGGGGGACTTCTGGAGGGTGAGGCCATTGTTTTTGCTTTTGATCTGTCTAGGGCCACCCTTCCTCTCTTTTTTTTCTCCTCCCCAATTTCGTCTAAGTTAACAAACAAATTCATGGTGGGAAATATAGCTATAGTTGCTAGACTTATAGAATTTCTTATGCAGATTAGCAAAAAGAATATGAAAAAAATAATAGTTCTTATCTGATTTGGGATTTTAATCTAAATAATTGTGGCTCATCAAAATGGAATAAAAAAGCAAAACACTCTAAAACACAGGAATGCTTGATGTTAACAGTTAAATGTCAAAATTCATGCAAAATTTCCTATGTTTATAATTCAAAAAATGCCTCTCACTGGCTTATCTCAATTGGCCATGCCATCCGTGATTAACACATTATTAAGCATGTGTGTTTATTTTGGTTAGTGCTAAGTATAGTTATTTCATTTTCAAGAGAAAATAAGAAAAAGAGCCAATCTGGGGATTTTTTTTCCTTGGTAAATGTATGATGTAGTTTTTAAGGAAAAATTTAAATTTTCTTGTTAACATTCCTTATCTGTACTTTTTGTCCTGTTCTGTGTAGGGAAAGCAGACTGGAAAAAGAAAAATAAGTATTTTTGGCAGAATTTCCGAAAGAACCAGAAAGGAATAATGAGACAGACTTCAAAAGGTAAAGCCTTTAAGGGGACAGTGCCCTATCAGTGAATGAGTCTCTGTAACACTATAGAATCTAAGAAACAAATATAACAAAATAGAAAGTAAAATGAATATTGGTAGCATGGCAAATATGTCCAAGCAGCTGGATAAGCAGCAGATGGCATATTTGATTCTTTGTGACTTAAATTGTATCAGAATGATGATTTATAAGCTGTTAGACTGCAAAACTGGATACCTATTCTCATTGAAGACAATGGGAAATGAGGGAACTCCATTAGTGGATGATGCATGTTCAAATCCTCTACATCAGTGGTGTTCAACCTGCAGTCCATAAAGCAGATGTGAATGGCCTGTCACCTAATAACATGTCCCTGTCTGACCTCACCAACATGTCAACATGGCTCCTGCTGGAGCTCTGCATATACACTGAGCTGTTTTGAGCAATCTGAGTTCAGTGGCAGGGAAAAGAGGAGAAGAGAGAGTGGCTGTGACCAGAGTCTGTGTACACACAACTGGTGAGTGTAGATGCCAAGCTCTTTTTCGCTGCAGCCCTGGGGCCATTTCTGATTATAAAGTTTGGTCACACATGAAGAAAAACAAGGTTGAGAACTACTGCTCTACATTGCTTTGAAAACACCACTGTGAATCCCTGGTGAATAGGAAAAGACATGCCTTTCAATATATACATGGACATATATATGCAATTTGATTCTTTTTTACCGGGTCAGAGCTCATTTGAGAGTGAGATTTGCCTTTTCAAAGCTGGGCTGTGGTTCTGTATAGTCTCCATGTTGCAGTTCACAATTAGAGGCTCAGACTGTTGCTACCTTTGCACACAGCTGCCTATTAGGGCTGTGCGAAGCTTCGGGTGCTGATTCAATTTGGAGGAGATTTGGCCCAATTCAGCGGCCAAATCTCTGAATCCAAATCGAATCAGGAGACCAATAAAAAGGTCCCAAGTCAGTCCATACACACAGTGTTACTGCATAGTAAGGCGTCTAAACATGCGTTACTGTGCAGTAACTAATCAGGCATAAATTTGATATCTGCATCATACAAGCACCAAATTTACACCCATGTTTGTGTAAATCACCATAGTTACTGCGCAGTAAAGGCATGCACGTGTAGACATGTGCCCGTACTGCACAGTCCACACACAGCATTAATGCACCTTAATGCCTACAAATGTGGACGCCGGCCTATTCCCATTTACTGAGCAGTACATTTAATGAGATGTAAATATATGTGTAGATGCGCCCACTGCGTTGCAATTTACATCATGTGGTTCGTGCCCAGTTATCTAACCCCTGTGGAAAGCACCTGCCAAAAATCAATTCAGATGGGGTGAATACTTTCAGATAAATGAAACAGCAGAATCTCATGAGGAGTGATACAGGCCAACACAGGACATAATGCAAAACCATACCAAACTTAATGGTACAGATACTAAATACAGTAAACTTAAAAGATCAGTTTGTTATACAGTACCAAGAGCTACAAGTTACTGAATCAAACTGTTAAGAGTAGAGAGATACAGTACTGTATTAAATAAAGCTTAAAGGAGAACAATATATAATCCGAACAGTTGAAAGTTACAGCACTGTATGAAACTTAAGAATAGAGATACAGTGCTGTATTAAATAAAGCTTAAAAAGAGAACAGTTTGTTACACAATAGCAGGAGTTATGAGTTACTCAAGTAAGGTTGCCCTGGAATAATCAAGGATTTAGATGACCAAGGATGTGCTGTAGTTGCTTTCTACATATTTTGCCCTCTTGCTTTCAGTGCCCAAATCCAGTTGCCTGTTGTTGGCAGGAAGCCATAATTTTGGCTGCTGGGGAGAAATAAAGTTATATTTCCCTTGTGCAGAAAAAATGAGAATCTGCATTTAGACTCTTTGCCCTGATACAGTAACCATCATAAGGCTGTGACAAGAACCTTTTTCCCCTTCCCAGACCTACCTATGGTGCACAGCCCCATGGGACCCACGTTCTGGAGCTGAAGCAGTATTGGGAAAGTGTCATTTCCATACCCTTTCCTGTCAGTGCTGTGTCCTTTTTTTTTAAAGCTTTTCATCTCTTCCTTTTGTCCTCCAGGAGAGGATGTTGGTTATGTGGCCAGTGAGATCACGATGAGTGATGAAGAACGGATCCAGCTGATGATGATGGTCAAAGAGAAGATGATCACCATTGAGGAAGCGCTTGCTAGGGTATGAAATGCAAATAGTTACCCATCTTTTATTACCTCCTCACTCTGGAGAGTATGTGCTGTAGCCTGTATATCATATGTTGACCTGGAATGGGGCTTTTCAGATCACTGTACTATTACTCAAAGAGCAAAGCAGTAGTACACAGTATCTCTGACTGTGATAGGAGTATGCAAATGACTTTTTGTTCTGGCAGTGCTGGCTCCGTAATAAAGGCTGATTTTATATTTTCAACCAAAATCCCACTTTTACATTGTCCAGTAAACAAGTATTCCTTTGGGTACAAAATTTCTTATGCCTTCAAGCCTGACAGATATGTAGTCCTGAATGAAAATTGGTGCCTTAGCCAGGTTTGGAAGAGTATTAGGCCTGGCAACATCAGTTGTAATACTGAATGCTAAGGATGTGCAGTGCAGCAAAGTCCACAGACTTTAGAAAAAATGCACTAGGACATTAGATGAACTAAAATGATGGGAACAAAATGGGGCTGGACGGGACCTCAATAGATGAGCTAGATCCCCTGTTCAAGGCAAGAGCATCACTGTCTGAACCAGTCTGACACCTTCAAAGGTTTGGGTTTTTACTCATAAAGAGAAGGAAAGGCAGTGATCAGTTTGGACTTGGCTGTCTTGCTGTGGCATTCTAAAACAATCCTATGTAACAGCTGAAGAACATATGTGCCCTTTGCTATATAATGTAAAAGAAATCACATGATTGAGTCCTCATTCTTGTCTTATCTTACCCTTCATCACCCTCCATTATACCCACTCATTGAGCAGTATCAAACTTAAGGTATGGACAAGGATTACATTCATAGTTGGAGAAATGCTGCTCTCTCAATAGAAACTGGGAGTGTACAGGCATTGACACAGTTTCTCCCACAGGAAACGTGTCATATCTGGAAGAAAAATTCTCCCCTTTCATTGAGGAAGGTCTCTCCTGCTCAAGGGTTTATCATGCAGGAATGAATACATATAATTTTCCTCACTGTAGACCAGGAGTCAAACAGCAGGGCTATGCTGCCTTGTGTGTTCCCAGGACTGGAGTCATGCTGCCTTAGGGAAGGTGCTTTTCCCCTGCTCCACCACTCCTGGGGACTAGGAGAGATCAAGCAGCAGCTGCCTTTCATACCTACCCCAGACTGGTGGTGATCCTAGTCTAGAGAAGGCACAGGGAGCATGAGACAAGGGGTGGCTGCAGGCTGAAACACTGTGTTTAGTCCCTCTCTTAGAAAGATTTCTAACACTGCAAATTTTCCAGGAATTTGCTACACTAGAAATGAACACCTATCCATACTCTTCAATTGGAGAAACAATGCGGTGTCTTTTATTTGTCTATAAAGGCAGGTGTAGATTGTGGGTTTGTATGAATAATAATATAATCTCTTCAGCATTGTATACAATCATAATAGCTCATAGTTCTATCACATGAAAATGGAGAAGAGTAAATGTGTCAGTGCATCCTGAAATAATTATTTACTTGGCATCACTCAGAAAGTTTTTTCTGTCTGTGAGAGGGCAGTATGACATATTTTGGTGTAGAATTCTGCGTTGTCTTTTCCCAATTACTTCTCCTGTCTGTATACTGAGTTAATCCAGTCTTTATTAACACCAAGTAAAATTAAGCCCATTTAGGCCACCACTGCAGTTATCTGCTTTAACATCTTTCTAGGATCAATTGCTCATAAAAGAATAATCCATTTGTGTGACATTTCCTCACCTTCAGAGTTTTGGTTAACTTCAGGTTTTGCAGCTTCTGGTTATTATTCCAAGAATGCTTTTCCTTTTTACTGCTTTCATGCTGTTTATGGCTGAGATGAAATTTGATTGCAAGCCTCAATTTTCATTGGTTTAAAACATTCTAAAATAATTCACTGTTAGGCTGATATTTCCTGCTTGTTCTTGGCCATAAGATGATATTTTTGCTTTAAATTTCAAGGAAATCTATTCACTCCTTGTGGAGACTTGCAGTTTTTGGAGAAGTGCAGGCAGCTGCATTTCTTCACAAAGTGCAGTGGCTGAAATGAGTATTTCTGATTTAAAAGATAAAAAACCCCAAGTAATTTAAATGAATAATAGTGTGTTAGTGCAGCAATAAGTCTGAAATGTTAGTTGTGCAAGAGCCAAGAAGTTCAGTTTTAAGGTTTTTCACAGCAGTCTTGTGCAAATGATGACACAATATACAGTATAAGAAGCTGAGATTATAGGAAAGCACTGAATTTACTGATAAAATGCCATTCAAATTCTGTATCTCTACATACAGTTTCTTACAGTAGAATGTTATAGAAGCAAAAGTTCCAGTTTTTATATTAAGTATTTTGCTGACAGTTCTGTCTCTAAAATGCTATACAAATCATATAATGAAAGCACATGGTTAGTTTTAAAGTTACTGTGGGAACTTTAATCTGTTTCTCAACTTTTGCGCAATTAAAATTTTACCCATTATATTTAATAATACCATTTAATTTTTTGCTAACAGTACAATTCCATTATACAATTCAAATGCATGTAGTTGTACGGTTTCCCTATAGTGGTCCAAATTACCACCAACAAAATGTATTTAAGTGATTTCAGTAGTATGTGTTATCCTTAGTAACCATAAGACTTGATCCTAATCCCATCAGAGTTAAAGACAGTGTCTTCGTGGATAGCAGGGCATTATCCAAAGCTTTAAACTTGGAATTGAAAGCATTTAGAGATCTATCTTTTAGACCTTGGTCTGGCTTGCCAAATTCTTACGTATTTCTGTTGTATCTACAAATCCTCTACTTGATCACACAAATGTTTATCAAAGAATGTAGTTTCCCAATTTAAGTATATATACATGCCTTTGAATGTTGTCGGTGCAATAAATGGAAGTAAAATTTTGGTCATCCGCTTCTGTGCCTCCTTGATAATTTGGCCCCATAGGACTTGATTTTCTTTTTATGTATTAAAATTGAAAAATGTAAAATAGAATCTTTGGTTTTGAATATAAAAGAGCTGATCAGCCTCCCATCCTAAGATTGTTTTCTTTGCACTACATATCCTTAGTCAAGATATTCTTTGCAATTTCTCTTGCAACGTATCCCTCTGAAAAGGGGATATATAATTTGCATCTTGTGAGTCTCAGCTTACCACAGTGTTTCCAGATTGTTTCTTTTTTGTTATGTTTGTGTCTTGTCATCAGAAGTATTTTTAAGTCTAAGTTTAAATCTAAAAAAGAGGAAATAAAAGGATATGCACTGCAGAAATTTTTTTTCTTGCTCTCAATTGTATGAACAGAAATTGGAGATATTTGCTGTATGGACTGCTGCTATGTGGGTTTATGGAGATCTCATAGTTTAGCATATATCAGATAACATTTTCTTTTTTTTTAATTTCAGCTGAAGGAATATGAAGCCCAGCACAGGCAATCAAGCACTGTAGACTCTGCAGACTGGCCTGACAGTTCTTATCCAACATTTGATGGGTCTTCTAATTGCAATGTAAGTGCTTTTCTCTAGGATATAGCTTCCTGACAATTTAATACTGCCAGAGTTTCTATTGATGTTTTACTGAAATGTTTTCCTCGATGGCAACCCAAATGCTGCTACTTCCTAGCCCTCAGGGAGTCTGCAGCAGTGATGGAAAATCCTCAGGGTTCATTGTTTTGAGCAAGCTTTGAATACAATACTCCTTTTTTTTTCATCACTGAATAACTCAATACATAAAATACCCGACTGCTAAAAATGTATAGAAAATATGTTCTGAATATTTTGGAGCAACTATAGCACTTTGCCAGACTCAAGTCCAGCTCCTCAGCAGGTGGAAAGCAGCAAGACCCTGCAGGTTCTGAAGAGCTTGCTGATTTCCACAAGTTAAAGATCTGGCTAGGACTTGAATGCCTGCTGCTCCCAAGTCAAACCGTTCCAACCCTCCATTTGCTAACAATCAGTCCAGAAAGTTTGCAGTTTATGCCAGACCTATAAACAAGCAGCTTTCTTTTCTTTTCTTTTCTTTTCTTTTCTTTTCTTTTCTTTACATCTGATCTTTGCAGATTCTAATGAGTTTCCTTGCTTTTATGGATGCTGGATAGTCTTTGTATCACATGAGACTGAGTCAATTAATTTTTCCTTCCAAATATCTTTATTTTTATTGAGTTGTTTATTCCCTTCCATTTCACTAATTGAAAGTTCATAGACAAATCTTACAGCCAAGCAAATTTGGCTGTCAGACCCAGACTCTCTGTAGCCCACATAATTAAATCATAGGCCCGTGAGTCCATTTATATTTTTTTACCACGAATGGAATCTCTTACTAAACACAGTGGGAGGTTAGCTTCTCATCACTGAGTGAAGAAAGAAAAGCTATGTCATGTTACTTGGGGATTTAAATTATTTGGTAGCAGGGGAAGATTAGCCTTTGAGCATTCTTGAAAATAGAATTTGCTCATCTTCAAGTAAGCGGGAACTGAGAGTGGCTGATAATTTCGGGTGCTCTTCCTGACATCTAGCTGGAGGACAGACTTCTCTGTTTTGCTGGTAGTCCTCCAAGGCGTTTTCTAATCCAGCTGTCTTTCCCTCCTTTGTGCTTGCAGAATGAGTGTGTGTGCTGTAAGTGTATTTCCATCCTCCCTTTCCTTCTTTATACCAGTTACACCACTTTGTTCAGTCACTACTCCAAAAGAAGGGTTATTAACAGTCAGCCTTGCTTTATGCCACCCAAAAGAGGCTTAGATGTTACCATTTATAACAGTATATATGAATTAGATTAGCTGGCTCCATGTCCCTGGACAATGTGGTAATCAAACAAAGAAAGACCATATGTTTAAATTGCTCTTTTGGGTCCCTTATCCCCAGGTTTCAAAATATAAGCTTCCTATAACACACCTTTTAGGCTTATGGCCCAACAAATTACAATTACAGTGCTCTCGTAACAGAGTCTGGGCTATTCCCCTCTGAGGTGTGTGACTATCAGATATGGTATCTGCAACTGAGAAGTCTGCAAGAGAAGGGAGGAGTGGTTATGAAGTGTCCACTGACCCAGGACAGCAGGGCAAGTGGCAGCTGTGAGTGTGGAAGGAGATGGGGGCAGGACTTGACTGAGCATGGAGGGGAAGGGTGGGGGATTCTTACCTGCTCTGGGGACTTTAAAAAGTCCCCAGAGGTTCCCGCCACGTGGTCTGCCTGAAGAGTGGAAGGGGAAGGGCAAGGATGCTGGGAGGAGAGATGTAGCCACCTCCGTTGTATGGGTTGCTGCTCCCACCACTCCTCTTTGCCAAATCTACCCAAGGTCAAACCTTTGAGGATAGAGTTTGGGTCAGTGTTTCCCTCTCCTGCTCCCCACTCCCTCATTGACTAGTACCTTTTCCTTAAACTTGGTTTCCCTGGATGTCTCTATTCAGAGGTCAGACTGGTGTTGCTTCTCTCTGCTTTTCTGGTAACCATCTTCCTGCTAAATTATTTGTGGGGCCCCTGTAGCCAGTTTCAATGTGGCTATCCAGATTTTTGCCCCCTCTCATAATTTTATTTCAAATGGATTCTGCTGGCAATCTATTTACCCTGAAGTGAGAAACAAAAGAGACTTATTAATTGGGCTTCACCTAGAGTAGGGCCGTCTGACTCGCAGCCCATGACAAATGCCCAGTGCCCACTACTTTGCATATTGCTCCAGGTGCTGCTGCTGCTAGAGTCTCTGAGCTCCCCCTCATTCGTCCAACTTCTGCTTTCTACCCCTGCTGCTCTGGGTAGAGACGTTGCCTAGCATGCTAAAAGTGTCTGGTTTGAGATCTGCAGGCAAGTCTGTCTACAGGGAAAGCATAGACAAGACCAGTGACTGCTTTACTAATGGGCCACAGTTTCAACGTAGACCAGAGGCCAGCCACCTTTTGACAGATGTAAGGCTCTGGGCTGTTCAGGCCACTTGCATCCAATGTCTGTTCGTGATGATAAGGTTTATGATTGGGACCCTAATGAAATGGCAGTTAAAGTGGGTGAACTGAACCAAACCCACCAAACTCATTTCGTGGACGCCATCAAGGAAGGGGATTTCCCAATACAGGAGCCTTGTTGTTTAAATAAAAGCCCACTTTTCTCCCAGCTTTTTATGACAGGAATAAAACCTCAGGAAATGATTTTTAATATGAGTCACCCAAACTGGAATTTCTGGTTTTAATTAAAACTCTTTGGGCTGTGGCTCTAAAGATTTTGTAATCCTTTTTGCTTTAGTCATAGCCAAAGTGTTACGAAGCAGTTTTTAATGGGCATCATGAACTTGAAGTTCTCATTTCCATCCAAACATTTGATTCGCACTAATGCTACATATGCAGCATGAGATTAGTGAAGGGGAAAGAAATTAAAGAAAGCTATCATTTTTTCTCCCTGTTTTCAGTGTCTTTGTTTTGCAGTCAGAGCTTTGCGTGTAGCCAGCATTGGTGCTTGGCAGTGATTGTTTCACTACATTGCTCCCATGTATGGCTTTGAAGATGCTCGTGTGTATGTACCTCTTTGCACCCTACACTAGCACAGCTAGTAGTAATACACAGAGAAAACAGCTACTCTTAACCAGTATAAGGCCAAAAAAGTATCTGGGTTGTAACTTGGGAATGGAGGCACTATCTACCTGACCCAAGGGTATCATGGATGGTGCCATAATGCTCAGGGTCCCCAAGGTACCTCCCACCTGTAAGTTCAGGAGCAAACACGACAACCTATTGAGAAACTATTTCAGGCTCTTATACGGCAGTTTAAGAGTTTAGTGAAAGTGACAACTTTCAAGGTAACAGGGTCCCTTTTAAATCTTCACTTTGACCAGAGATTAAAAAGAGCACAATTCTTAATGTTGGTTCAACTTGCAGACTCTTTGGGTGCAGATAGAAGTTACATTTTTTGCATAATCGGGCCCCTGAAGTGCTCTACAGCCATGCCATGACACATGTGCCACACCCCTGTGGCTTTGAGTCCTCAGTTGAAGGGCCTCCCAGCTACAGGGGAGCACCTAACTACATATTCAATTAATGGTGTGATTAAAACAAGCTACAAAGTCGTTACACATTTTTTGTAGAATAACTTTGTGGCTTATTGCTTGTTTCAGCATGCCATCCACTGGTTAACCGTGTAGCTGGGTCACAATAACTTGCTGGTTAATCACACCTTATGTGCAACATGTAGAGGGGGGCCTAAGGCATCAACGTATCTCAAGATAAAGATAGAGATAGGAAAAGGTTGCAGGAAGTTAAAATCATAGAATCGTAGAAATGAAGGGCTAGAAGGGACCTCGAGAGATTGAGTCCAATCCTCCTGCTGTGGGAAGGAATACTGCTGAGATCAAATGATCCCAGCAAGGTGTCTGTCCAGTCTCCTCTTGAAGACTTCCGAAGAGAGATCCTGATCAATAGGGAGAGTCTAGAGAGAAAGAACAGGAGGAAAGGGGACCTTTGGGAGTTTAAGCACTTTGGAGTTTGAGGTCTGTTCTGTCTCAAAGCACAGAATTAGATGGCTAGGTCTAGAAGCAATATTTGATTGCCAAAACAAAATTAGCTGAGTGGGTTTTTTTGAAGAAGAAGACTATGATTACGTTGATACTTGCACAGCTCGAGTATCACTCGTGTATAAGCTGCAGGTGTCGACACTCGTTTTGCTTTAAGGATTTAATTTGTCCTCTTCTTCCAAAATCCTCCTCATTTAAATTTGTCTAAGAACAAATGGAGGCTTTTACTCAAACCTCTGTGGAGTTATATCCTGAAGACAATCAACAAAGAACAGAAGGGTCATCTCTCCTGGGGCGGGAGGGAGGCTGCTGTCAGTTGTTTCCATGTTGTTAATTATATGTTCTATCTCTTCCTTTTTTTTTTTAAGGTTTGCCAAATCGGTAGCTACTTGGCTGTCTGCCAGGTTCATGCAGTTTAGTTTACAATCTCACTTCTATATGTCCAGTGTGTTCTGTGGGGAGTGTATTTATTGCTGTTTACTTGCACAGAAAGCCAAGGAGGCTTGCTGTCTTTTCAGTCAGATGGGGGGTGGAATATCTCGAGTGTAACATTTCTAATCATTTACTTGCATCTATTTTAATATTTGTTTGTTTTTCCTCTCTGCTGGAATCAAAGCTCGCATTAAACTGAGACAGGCTTTCATTGCCTCGTGCCAGGCACTGGGATGTAAAGCAGGTGCAGATTACAAGGAAGTCTGTTTCTAGATTTTAGATAAGTGCTTGTTTGTCCTCTCTTCAGAGTTGGAAAGTCCAGGGGGAAAGAGGGGAGTTTCACAATCAATCACATTACTTTCCTTTTTATGCCAACTGATGTGACCGTTATGCTATATTCAAGGTAGCAATTTATTGGATAACTTGGGACTCTAACCTCCTAATCCAAAGCAGTGTGATGGTAGCAAGGCAAGTCTCCCTACACTGCTCTGTTTAAACTCTTCCAATGATATTGGTTAAATGGTTAGCCAATAGCTCATGACCTCTGGCAGGAATGGACACAGCCCCTTACATCTTCACTATGGTC